ATTTAGTAAATAAACATGTGTTGCTCTGTCTCGATCGCTCATGTTCTCATTGTAAGCCTTTATTTTCCTATCTCTCTGTTGTTTTTGCAGCCAGCTGATTCCAATTTTTTGACCAGTTTAGTTGCCTTTTCTTATGTCTTAGACTAATTTCCTTACAGAGTGGCAGTGGATTTCCACCAACTTCTTTGTATAGCCGAGCACTACGGTCTCCTGTTGAACACTTGCTCTGTGCCAGGCATGCTGTAGGAAGTAAATGCAAGAGCAAAGAAGAGACGATTCCCTGCCCCAAAAGAGCTAAGGATCAGGATTTCTGAGAAACTTGCTGGATTTCTTACTTGGTTCAAAAATGGTAGCTCAAGCCGGGCTCGGTGGCTCAGCCTGTAATCCCGCGCCTTTGGGAGGCTGAGGTGAGTGGATTGCCTGAGCCCGCGGGTTCGAGACCCGCCTGGGCAGCGAGACCTCATCTCTACAATGAATCAAAAAGTCAGCCGGGCGTGGTAGCGCATGCCTGTAATTCCGGCTACTCGGAAGGCTGAGGCGGAAGGATCGCTGGAGCCCAGCAGGCGAGGCTGCGGTGGCTGGGAGCGGCCACTGCACTCCAGTCTGGGCGACGGAGTGAGACTCCAACTCAAAAAAAAAAAAAAAAAAGGTAGCTCAGAATCCTATCACCAAACTGTAAGAATATTTGGCACTAGTTCCTCTGAATTCTTGTACCACCTTAGAAGGACTCACATAAACATTTGTGTGCTGGGTCCTCGCCCTTCTCATCAGCTCTCTGGATCTTCCTGTGATCAGTCTAAGGTTATGTTTCCTTTATGAAGCAAAGATCCTCAGCACAACCCTGTTAGGTCTTCTTCCATCTTATGGATGACGAAATGAAAGTTCCAAGTAGTCCTAGAAATAACAGAACTTTCATTTGTGTGTCACTTTCCAGCTTTTATGATACTTTAACCCCAATATACGCTCTCATAGCAGGAACAGTGATCTTCACGTAAGCCAGATCAAGTCATGCTCTTGCTAAATCCCTCCAAGCTTTCCGTCACACTCGGAGTCAAACACCCCTCCTTGCTTCGCTGACCTAACTTTTAATCTTTCATTCTCTTGCTCACCACACACCAGATGGTCTTCTTTTGGTTCTACAAATAGACCTGCTTCTGCCTCAGGTCCCTTCATGATGCTATTTCCAGATTCCATAAGGGGCAGACCACTCCTTCGGGTCTCGGCTCAGATACCACTTTCCAGAGGGGCCTTCCCTGACCACAGTGTGAGATACTGATCCTCCCATCTTGTCAAGTCACTGTCTAGCATTTCACTGTGTTTCGTTTTCTTCCTAGTCCTCATTATTATCTTGATTCTTTTATTTGTCTGCTTGTTTATTGTTAGTCTCCTTCCCTTAACTAAAATGTAAGCCACCAAGAACACACTTGTTCTGTTTCATTGCTATAGACTGCCCCTAAAGCTCTGCTTGGCATACAGCAGGTGCTCAATAAATATTTCTTGAATGACTAAATTAATGCATTTGGGAATGCCATAATGTTTTTGAATGGAAATCCTTAGCCCTTTTCTTTTCTTTTTTTTTTTTTTTTTGAGTTGGAGTCTCACTCTTGTCACCCAGACTGGAGTGCAGTTGCCGCTCCCGGCCACCACAGCCTCGACCCGCTGGGCTTGAGTGATCCTTCCGCCTCAGCCTTCCAAGTAGCTGGAACTACAGGTGCACGCTACCATGCCCGGCTAATTTTTTGATTTATTGTAGAGGTGAGGTCTCATCAAGTTGCCCAGGCGTGTCTCGAACCCGCGGGCTCAGGCAATCTACTCACCTCAGCCTCCCAAGGTGAGGGATTATAGACTGAGCCACCGAGTCTGGTCTTAGCCCTTTTCTAGCCTTGTTTTTATATATTCTCCCTGGGCAATTTCATTTACTACTGTGGCTTCTTTTTTTTTAACCTCTCTCCCTGTTTTCCTCCAGCCCAAATCTTTATTTCTGACATGACCAGCTCTGAACTGTATTTTACACTTTTTTTGTTGTTTCCCATACTTGTTTATATAATTTTTAACTCCCATAATCAAAGATTATCTTGACCTTTGAGTGATAGCCAAGGGGACCTGTGTTAGCATTGTACATTTTAACATTTTATATTTAGAAGGAACTTAGAGTTCATCTACTCCAATTCCATGTGGATTAAGAAACTGAAGTCCAAGATAATGACTGCTGAAAGTCTCATAGCTAGCATGTGATAGGACCCAGAATTTGCAGGGCATATTCCTCGTTCCACAGTATTGTTATTTGCCAACTAAGACTCTACCTCTGCTTCATATGCGTATTTAATTACTGAGATATAATTCACACACCAAAAAAATTCACCCTTTAAAGTATGAAATTCAGTGGTTTTTTTTAGTATATTCACTGAACCTTGAAATTATCCCCATGATCTAGTTTAGAACATGCTCATCACCCCTGAAAGAAACCTCACACAAATTGATAGTCACTGCCCACATTCTCCTCACCCCAAACTCCCTCCTCGTCTTCAACCCTAGGAAACCACGAATCTGCTTTCTGTCTCTATGGGTCTGCCTACTCTGAACTTTTCATATAAATGGAATCAGACAATATGTGACTTTTTGTGTCTTGCTGCTTTCACTTAGCATAGTGTTTTCAAGGTTCATCCATGTCAGAGTATTTACCCTTTTGGGGGTTGTTTTTGTTTTTGTTTTTGAGTTGGAGTCTCACTCTGTCCCGCAGGCTGGAGTGCAGTGGCACGCTCCTGGCCACTGCAGCCTCGACCTGCTGGGCTCTGGCGATCCTTCTCCTCAGCCTTCCAAGCAGCTGGAACCACAGACACATGCTACCATGCCTGGATAATTTTTTATTTTTATTTTTATTTACTGTAGAGACAAGGTCTCGCCCAGTTGCCTGGCCTAGTCTCAAACCTGCGGGCTCAAGCAATCCACTGGTCTCGGCCTCCCAAAGTGCTGGAATTATAGGCTGAGCCACCAAGCCCGGCCTTATTTTGTTTTGTTTAGGCAAATCCCCTTTCTCTAACTGGCTTTAATATCTGCCTTTGAGCACAAAATTAAATGCTAAATATCCTAGAAGCCAAAATTTTTTAAAAAATCACAAACACAAACATATCGCTCAGTTCTAGTTATTCATAAAGGAAGCACATGGTAGATCATGTGCATAGATACTTGTCTAGCACTATATTTTAAGACAAATCATAGATGTAGTCCTTTGAGTTCACCATATGGCACTGTCTTTGATGACTTAAGGTGTTTTTCCTACTTTCTTGTTTATATTATTTCCAGCTTTCCCTGAGTTGGGTATGCTGAACAGTGTTGAATGGGCTACCTGTGATGTCCTCAAATGACTCTTCTCTTTCTGTGTACAAGAGTAACTTTTTATTTAACCTTCAACAATGCACCAATTTGACCTCCACCATTAATCCTCAGGATGTTTATTTCATTCATGATAATGATATACTCAAATTCATCTCAAATTTGTGTAATTTTTTTTTACAACTTTATTTCTGAAAGAGTCAATAACTTTGCCAATCTAAAATCGTTTCCAAACAATGCAAATTCTCTAGTAAGTGGGGAGGAGAGAGAGCAGGGAGCTGTACCTAGGTACAAACAAAAGAAGGAATATAATTGTTTGCGGGTGTCTACCCATGGGTTTGGCCACATGTTTATTTTTTCTTTTGGAGGAGGCCTCAGGTGCAGAGAATTAAATTAAAATCATACTCCTAAACTATTATCAGCAGTCCGTGAAAGATTCTGTTTTTATTTTAATTTTCATCTCCCTCTTAATCATGCCTTCCTTCTGTGTTTGATATATGTCCTTAGAGCATGTGGCTTTATAGGCTGTTTAGTGTTGTTGGGTGTGAATGAGTGATTAGATAAGTATTATTGTGCTGTAAATCTCATTCTGTTTGTTTGATTTACTTACCACTAAACCTTCAAAACCTATTCATATTGCTAGATTTACATTGAATTTATTGCTTCAAATGGTATCTTTGGAGGACAGGGCCCAAGGGATAAGTGCTTCCCACTACCTATCCTTGTTCTGCAACAAGGTTTATAAGGCTCCTCCCAAGACCCCTGTGACCCCAAGGGGTTGTCAGCATTGGCTGCCAATTTGGAAAATGAACCCTTGTGTTGGTTTTCCCCTCACCCCTGTTTCCATCCCCTGGTTCCTCACTCTTGCTCCCTGTTGTGGTTTCTCAAATGAACAACCTGTAGACAAGCCTGTGATTCAGGCTCTGCCTCCAGGGACTGCCCAGCCTACCTCATGGCCCCCAAGAACTGCCAGATTGCTTTCCGGGGCATCTGCGCCCTGGTCTGAATGCTTTGGTCAGTGTCCAACTTGTGGGTCAGAGACGGAGCCGTTTCCAAACTCCAGAGGGCCACCTTTTGACTAGCTTTGCCCCTGCTTGGGATGCATGCGGCCGTAGTTGTCCCTGTGTGGGTTCTGTCACCTGTGGGTCAGGAACTTTTCTTTTTACACTTGCTGCAGTTATTTTCAAAATGTGTTTGCAATATGCATACCCTGGTACTGATAAGAGGCCTCTCTCCCTTCTACTGATTTGTAACTTTTGATGCACAGACAGTATGTATCATAAGTGTGCCATAACAGAGCGCTGAGAAGAATTGCTTCTCGACACTTGTTGATATGGAAACATGACACCATTTATATTATCCAGTGAAGGGTGTTGGAGGCAGCTCCCAGCCTAGACATGCATTTGTTCGATCATGTTGTCGCTTGGGTTTACTTAGGGAAAAATGATCATGTCTTTGTGTGGACATGTTCAGTGTCAATGCTTGTTGCCGTGTGTGCGCATATGCCAATTCACCGTACTGGGTGCATGTTCATGAAAAAGCACAAATCACGACCCCCTGGGAGCAGGAAATCAGAGACACTCCCTTTTACGGAATGTGTGTTGCTTCTCATTTGGGAATAGCTTTTAGGATTTCATTATTCCCTTGTGCTCTTGTTGTGTGAACAGGTGGTTAACACATATACCCCAGGAAAGAAGATTTGGCTCGAAGGCGTGGTGACCACCTCAGCTGGAGGTACAAACAACCTGTCAGACTCCTACGCTGCAGGATTCTTGTGAGTAACACTTGCAATCTCACCCCAGGGATGTTCAGGACAGAAGGACGGGGAGGCTTATTCTGCCTTTGCAGGGCAAGGCATGTTTCCTGTTGAAGGGTCTCCATCCATTCACTCGTGGATGTCTTGAACCACCCAGCAAACAGTGACTCATGCCTCTTCTAGATGGTAGCAGTTGTAACCGTAGCAATTGGCGTAATAAACTGTATTTAAAGCCTGCAGTTCAAAACACAATGCAAACAGCATACATTTGCTTCTCATCGAATGCTCACCACAGGCCTGGAAGGTCGGTAAGAATAAGCCTGGTTTCTGCCCTCCAGAAACATGGGATTGGAGAAGCTGGGATAGGAGGAACTGCAGGAGAGAGGTGCTGTACCTGTAATACTTTCAGCTATAAGGTGGTAACCATGCGTCAAGCACTGTCTGACGTACTTTTTGTATACTGAATAATTTAACAGCCAGGGACATTGATGCTATTGTTTTTATAGCAACTCAGTGAAATGGATGATATTATCATCCTTGCTTTACAGATGAGGAAACTGAAAGACAGAGTTGAAGTCAGTTTCCCAAGGTCACTAGCTTAGTTAGTGGCAGAGCTGGCACTTAACCCCGGCAGTCTGTGCCACAGCCTGTCCCCCCCTGCAGGAGACCACCTCCCTCTCTGCCTTACGTGGTCTGTCTGCAAAAGGAAAGTGACAGACATGCAAAGGAATAAAAAGTTTCTGTGACTGGGAATATCAGGAAGGACTTCATGGAGGAAGTGGCATATGGGTGGGGCATAGGAGGACACTAAGTTCTATCTCTGGAGAGTGATGGTGATGGTGGAGGGGAGCCTTCTAGGCTGAAGAAACATTGCGAGCAAAGGCACAGAGGAGCAGGGAAGGGTTACTGTGACGAAAGTCTTGTTGTCTGCAGGGATGGAATGAGGGCTGAGACCAGGGAGAGGGGTGACCACCAAATCATGGGGGCCCTCCAAAACCAGGTAGAGGAAGTGAGGCTTTGTTCTACACCCACTGCAAGCCATTGAAGATGTGGGGGGAGGAGAGAGAGACAATCTGGCCTGTGTTTTAAGACGTTGGCTCTGGCAGTAGCGTTCCCAAGATGGGAAGGAACGAGAAAACGCATCTGAAGGCTACTGCAGTCATCTGGAGAATGACTTAAACCAGAAGCATAAGGGCCTCTGGCTGGCCTGCCAGGGTCATGTGGCAGGGACAACACCCTCAGGACCACTCACCAACCGGGCGGCCTGTTGCTGGTCCAGTGCAGTCCTGCGTCCTGGCTTTTCAGCCGAGCAGCGTCCTCCTAAGAACTTTGGCCTTGCCCTCAGCCATGTGCTCTGCTACTAAGGACCGTCCTGAATCACACAGACGCAGGCCCCCTCCACCAAGGCAGCGTCTTTAGGACATTCATGATGGACAAATCAGACCAGGTAGATTGCCTTGGCAGGTGGAATTCTGGAACATGCAGGCGGAGATGCTGAGTCAGCGTCTTTCCTGGTGATGCCTTGGGTCTTCCGTTTCTGTGTCCTCATGGCGTAACACAGAATTTTCCTACAAGCGCAGTTCCAATGGATGGAAGGAGTGAGTCAGCATTTGATACCGGTTGATGAGCATTTTCTTTCGAAAGTCCCGTCCCCTCAGCCCCAATGGCTGGATATGAGCCTTGTTGGAAGGGTGAGAAGCAGGTTGGCAGTGGTACTGCAGGGGCCCTTGGCATCAGCAGAGGAGTGGCTTCTGCTCCACCATCACCAGAGGCTCTGTTGCAGGGCCTAGCAAGCCGCCCAGTTGTGCTGAGTGTTGTTGTGAGTTTTCTTCCCTTTAGGGCATGATGCAAAATGAGAAATGCCACAGACCTTCATGGAGGAAGCTGGAGAAGAGTCCTGCCTTGTCATGTGCAAAGATTTCTGTGGCTCTCTGTGGTCACTTTGCAGAACACAGATAAACATGGTTGTTTACATTCAGGTTGTAGTTCCAATAACCAGTGCTTGGGTGACACAGATCTGATGAACACTGGCCTATTCGGTTCTGATCTTTTCTCTTACCTCTTTGTCACCCAGGTGGCCTTAACTTCAGCACCCAGCGGTGTGCTCCTTGAGTCCAGTTCTCTAAGGAGTATAAATTGCTCTCCAATGAGAAAAAAAGCAAAGCATCTAGGAAACTCTAGGAGGCTAGAAAGAAATTGGAAAGAAGGCATTTTTCTCAGCCTTTTGAAATATGTATCACATAACTATGAGCTCACCAGGAGACATGCACATACATGCATGAATCAGAATTCTCTGCTACCAAGTATTCAAGAATGGTATTTCCCAATCAAGGCTTTGAGAGTCTTTAGTACATGACAGATACCCTTGGCATGATGCCATGTCCCCGGCACCTAGTAGTGTCTGACACATAGTAGGCATTCAATAAAATTCCGTGGAATGGGAAATAATGGAAGGGTAGTATCCTTGGTGGGATATATCAGTCATTTTTCCAACTTTCTCAACCTGAGCATAGAAGGGAACCTTGGAAGACCATTTATTTCTCCCATTTTTTTTTTTCAAAAATGTCCCATATGCGAGGGAAAATATCAGTTTATGAATTTACACGTATTTGTTGCGTATGTATTCTATGCAGGTCACTGTGCTAGGCTCTGTTGAGGTCACAAGTAGGACTTTGCTGTTCCCTTAAACGTGTACATGCAGGTGTGGACACACTCAGTGCTTGACCGGTGACTTACATGGGCACACAAGCGTTTTCGGATGTCTTCTCAATGTTGAGAACAATGCCTAGCCTTTAGAGTCGATTACTGAGGGTTATTGAATAAATAACAAATGAGTGCACACATGGGATCTTCTCACATATAAAAGCAACAAGATACAGTTGTGTGTTGACATCCAGGTGCTGCTAGACAGAGGCGCTTACAGGTGTGATCGTGCACTTTCTCATTGTCTTGTTTCTTCCTCCATTCAACGAGCATGGGCGTTGAAAGGTGAAGAAGACAGGTTTGCTTTTGCAGATAAATACTTGTTGGATATCGACCCTATAGTGCTTGCACTAATTCATTGTGGAAAGAGCACTGATTTAGGAGGTATTAGCCCATACTTCATGTTATAGTTCTACCACTGGACACCTTTTGACAAGCTATTTAATAGTATGCTTCCATGGCCGAAGGCAAAGCTAAGCTATTTTCCTGATTTCACAGGGTGGCCAAATTAATATGCAGAAGAATGGCAAGTAGCTTGCTTAGTCACGTCATGTTCCAAAAGTAATTTCAACTCTCTGGGTCATGATGTTCCGACTTGATCAACAACAAAAGAGATTCTACTATATTATAGTCAGATTTTCCTTTTGATTGAAAACTTTTGTTTCTGTATTTTGCTTTGCTTTTTATTTTGTTTTTGTAACTCTAATTGTCAGTAAATATTTGTTAGTTTTTATGAGACTAAAATAAAATTGTAAATGTGAAAAACATTTGAAAATATGAATAATATTTGTTCATAATATAAAAATTAGCAATGCTCCCATTTCAGCAAGGAAAAAACTTAATTCTTCTACAAGTCACGAGTTTGGAGCTCCATATGGTTTCAGATTTGGGAAATCATAACTGTGCATGATTTTCCCTAACGGTGATTCTCAAAGTTCCTAGAATCTAATTTTATCCAGATAAATTTCCACTTCACAAACAGTATCGAGTGCCTGCAGTGTCCCAGGATAGGTGATGCGTGTTTTGGGCACAAGCTCAGACATTGTGTCTATGCTTGAAGAACTCATACCGGACAGGAGAAGGTAGAGAAATAAGTAGGTGATTCTCACTCGGTGGGCCAGTCGAGGGAAGGAACAAGAGTTCTGAGACGCACAGAGGAAGGCACTGCTGCTGGCAGGGCAGCAAAGTGTGGAAGAAAGCACTTGATTTGGAGATTAATAGATGGGAAGAAATTGGCCAGATGAAAAGAAGCGGGTTGGGGGAGGAGAGAAAGGGAATTCTATGCCAAAGTGTAACCATATATGAAGACTCAGGCATGTGTGGGAAAACTCAGTGTAGGTGGTACCCAAGAGTCGTTTCATGTGGCCTGGCGCCTGTGGGAAATGGAGTCTAGGGGGAGAGAAGAAGTGTCGACAAAGTTGCACACAAATGCTTGGGGCAGATTACAAAATGCCTGATATTTCATATGGAGAAGACTGAAGCTCTAAGACATGCATTATATATGCATTATATGTAGATTAATCAGAAGCCTCCCTAAGTTTCGGAAGTAGGGAGAAAGAGAGAGAAGCAAATGAATGCATGCATGGATGAACGAACCGAAGGTGTAGACCACGAAGGCAGAGCCACACAGAGTGCTGGAAGAACCAGGCGGGCAGTGTTTCTGAAGGTGGCGAGCCCTGGAGAGTGGGAACTTGAGGCGGGGTCTGGGATAAGCGTGTGAGCAAGGCGGGTGCTGCATTGAAACTTCTGTGTGATGGCAGCACACCTGAACCCTCAAATGGCACTTATGGTGCCAAGGAAAGTCATGGTTGCATCAACAGCTGACAATGATTCATGAAGTGTGCAAATGACAGACTCCTCTTGTGTCCGTCACCGCAGCTTGTGAACTAGAGTGTTGGGAAAGGCACGTGGATGGTGACAGGGTGCGAGCCGGGGAGCTGGAGTGATGGAACGTGTGTGCGTGCCTGTGACTGTGTGTCCTGCAGCCAAGGAGGTGACACTGGGCTTACAAGTGTCTGGAGCATTCATTTGCTAAAATTTCAGGAATAAAAGATAAGTCATTAACAACAAGCTGTTTTGTGACCAAGGGCAATTCATTTTACCCCTCTGGACCTCTGTTTCTCTTCCTATAAATGAAGGGGTTGGATTTGACAAGCTCTAAAATCTCTTACAGCCGTGTATTCAATGCTTAAAACAATCTTCTTTAAAGTACTGGGTAAGTTTGGTGCTGGGGGTTGGTGTGTGTGTGAATGTGGTAGCCAATCTCTTATAGAGCTTGTTCTGTGCCGTCTTAAAAATGCATTGATGTAACTCTTTTCTCTCTTTCTTTCAGATGGCTGAACACTTTGGGAATGCTGGCCAATCAGGGCATTGATGTTGTGATACGGCACTCATTTTTTGACCATGGATACAATCACCTCGTGGATCAGAATTTTAACCCGTTACCAGTAAGTCTGGGGATACAGATTCCCAACTTCTTCTCCTTATTGTGCAGGTCCTTTGCTCATGCCTCGCGCCACGCTAGGAGAAGTTTCTTCCTCTTACTGTTTTTCCCTCTTACTGTTACCAGCTCATTTCATAAGTTGGACCAAAGCATTCTTGTCTTTGTTCCTTGATCACAGGCTTTTGGCCTCAACACACACACACACACACACACACACACACACACACACCCCTCAGTACTCACACATCTATACACAGTTTTATATATATATACACACATATATATACATTTGCATATATGTATGCATAAACACATATATTCATTTCTACATCATATATTTCTATAGTTATTACTATTAGTTTAACAAACCTTGTGCAGTTGAGTTTCCACATCTTCTTGTGGCCTGTTTGAACTCTGCTTGAGAGTGAATTTTTCCAGATTGTTTTCTTTTAATGCTAACAGGAGACATTAGTTAACGTCAAAGGCAACATGTTGAAAGCAGATGGGAGAGTGTTGGCCCAGACCAGAGACACCAGGAACCCCGCTCTGGGGGTGTGGCTGAAGTGCACTTCCTGTTGGACGTTGGTCCCTGTGTGACACCAGGGGGTTTGCCCAGAGCGCCAGCTTCCTTCCCTGGAAAAGCAAAGGAGAGAGAAGAAGAAAGTAGAATGGCAGGAGCAGAAATCTGGGTTTTGGCTAATCGGAGAAATTCCACTTGGTCCAGAAAAGCTATGCTCACCAGAAATACTACACGGGCTATCCTTTTTGGGAGGGCAGGGGCCAGGGTCTTGCTCTGCCGCCTGGGCTGGAGTGCAGTGGCACATTCATGGCTCACTGCATCCTCCAACTCCTGGCTCAAGGGGTTCTCCCTTCTTAGCCTTCCCGGGAGCTGGGATCACTACACCTGGTGGGATTATCTTTTTTCACAGACATCATGGTCATGACAAAAGATAAGGTTCCTCTCATCAACTCAGAATTTCAGAGCTAGGATTCCCCTTCCAGATGATCCCATCCACCTCATTTAGCAGAGGGCCTCTGAGACAGGGCACAGGGATGCGGAGCTAGCCCTGATCCCGTTTCTGTGCCCTGGGCTGCTACTCTTTCTACAGAACTCCTGCTGCCCTGGGGTCCGCGGTAAACAAACCCAAGCTGGAACTAGTGAGGATTCCTGCTACTTGCTTCTCTTTGCCATGTCCACCCACTCCCTCCACCCCAACCCAGAGCCAGGAGGCCGCCACGGTCAGAACAGAGAACAGCTGGGCACCATCAGCACTGTTTCTTTTTCTTTTCTTTCTTTTCTTTTTTTTTTTTTTTTTGAGTTGAAGTCTCACTCCATCACCCAGACTGGAGTGCAGTGTCACACTCACGGCCACCCCAGTGTCGACCTGCTAGGCTCCGGGCGATCCTTCGCCTAAGACTTCTGAGTAGCCGGAACTACAGGTGCATTCTACCACGCCCGGCTAATTATTTATTTATTGTAGAGACAAGGTCTCGCCAAATTGTCCGGGCTGGTCTCGAACCTGTGGGCTTAGGCAGTCTACTCACCTCAGCCTCCCAAAGTGCTGGGATTACAGGCTGAGCCACTGAGCCCGGCCCAGCACCATTTCTATGTTTCAAAGGAATCCCTCCAGGTTAGAGGACTAAGGAATTACTGTAGTGCTTGGTGTACGTGTCTCCAAGACTCCAGCTAAATCACAAATATTAAAACCAACTAGCTGCTGTCGCTTTTACCTATAGGACCTCTCTCAAGGAATATGTGTGGGGCTGAAGCGGGAAGGGGAAAGAGAGGGTTTTCCATTTGGAACCTGGGAGAATTTTGTTTTGTTTTGTTTTAAGGTCACATATTTGCAGAAATGAAACAAAATAATTAGAAAAGTATCCATGAAATGTAAGCAATAAACAAATATAATGTCACACAGAAAAAGAAATGTATTGACCATCAGGTGCTGAAAGGATACTAGCGATAGGTAGGTGAATACATAAATAATAGAGCATAAATGAGTGAATATGTAAATAATAGAACCATGCTAGGCTCCTTTAGAGTGCATGTGCAGGAAAGGCGTCTTCGAGAGGGTGACATGTAAGCCCAGAGCCAGTAACCGAAAGGAACCACCTCTGCAGATTCCACAGAGGAACTTTCCAGGCGAGAGAAGAAGCTAACACCCAGGTTCCAAGGCAGGAACAAGCTTGGTGTGTGAGAGGAGACATAAGAACACCAGCGTGACTGGGGATGGGCAGGGTCTGGTTGGAAGTGAAGCTGGAGGGCTCAGATCACCTATAGGCTAAAGGGGGTTGACTTTTAGTATAAGAACTAAGAAATGTCATTGGATGACTTTCATCAGGGAGTAACATAATCTAACTGACATTTTTAAAAGACCGCCCCAGCATATTGACTGTGTCAAATGTTAGTTATAATTTTTTTAATAATGTAGACAATACTTCACATTTTACAGATCACTTTCACAAATGGTGCAGTAACAGTGCTCTGAACACTGCCCTCTGTGCTTCTTTTTCCTTTTTCCCTTCTTTCCTTTATTCCTCCTGTCACTCACTCCAAGTTCATCTACTCGTCTTGATCATGCCCCGTGTGCTGATTGCTACTCCTGGCAGTGGGCCACTATGGTGAACCAAAGACAAGGCCCCTGAACTCTTGGAGTTTACAGCATAGTGAAGTGTACTGAGAAGCAGAAAATAAATAAACATATATATCAGACCATTCTTTTTGTCATAACTGCTCTTCAGAAAGCCTAGTGAGATAAATATGACTGTTTATACTTGTTTGCTAAAGCAAAACTAAGGTTCTATGAAGTTACTGAGTGACTTATCCAAGGTCAGACAAACAGTAAGAGCTGGAACTCCCAGAGTTTTCTAGCTCTAAATCTTGTTTAATTTTCACTGTGCCACACTGTTGTTTATAATACTCTCTTAGATGTCTTAGTGGTCTGAGGCCAATTTTGCTTTAGAATTGAGTCTGGAAATGAAAACAGGCATGTTGGGAAATTGGAGAAAGAGAAAGATGGCCTTTGGATGACTAAACAGGCTTCATTTCCAGAGTTGGGCAAACGTGGTTTCCATATCATGTCCCTGTATACCTTTGCATGGCCATGTGGAAGTCAGGGTGCAAGTCCTCATGGCTTTGTTCTCCCCAGGTGAGAGTTGCTGCCAGTGACTTCCTTTCCAAGCATGGCACAAGAGGCCTACTTTGACACATGGGGACAGCTGAGCTCATAGAAGTCCATAGGAAGAGAAAACAAATTCCACTGATTTAACACAAAGGCTCAGATGAGCTGGGCAGCTGTATTTCTGGAAACACCAAGCTATAATAAAGAAACCATACATAAAATCACTTAAAAAGAGAGCAGGCTTTCTTTTTATTTTTCTTTGCACTAATAAATTCTGCACCTTATAAGTAGAGAACTTGGCAGCTGGGAGAGTATGTCCTTAGCCTCCCCCGGAAGGAATTTATAAGACAACCAGAACACCAATCTGACAGCCTTTGCCAGCGGGCCCTGGGATGTGTGATGCAGACAGACCTGGGAGTCGTATTGGTCACCACTTCAGAGAGTTGTGTGGTTGGTAACTACACCCTGCCAATAAAAACTTGTGGATTTTACATTGCGGTTAAATCTTCAAGAGAGTTTGTTAAGAGCTTAGGGGATTAGTGAGCTGTATTTTGGTTGCCTCCCAGAACCAGTGCTCTTGCATAAATCGAGAAAAAGTGAGCATCTTGGTCACAGAGTGCCTCAACCCATATCCCATATTACCCTTCCACCTGCCCTTGCCCAGTCAATTGTAATCCCAGTTCGTGGCGTTCCGGCCAGGTTCTGGCGGAGGCATTCCAATAGCACCCACCTAAGGTGAGACAGAATCTGAGGATGACCCTTTAAAAGAGAAACTTGCCCCCCCAAAAAGATCATTTTCAACTATATCCTGTGTTCTTCATGGTTGTTCCTCTAGAATAGTGCCAGCCTCCTCCTGTTGTGACAGTTCCCTTCTTCTGGGAAAAGGAGAATATTTAGTTCAGCCATGCTATGTCACTGACTCCCATCCCTTTCCCCGGCCTCCCCACCACTGGGAAAGAGGGGACGCGTGAGCCTCCACAGCTGGCCGGTCAGTCGTGGCTCCCTTGGGAGAAGGCAGTGTTTGTGCAGAAGAGATCTGCACGTTCGGTGGACATAGTCCAGGCCCCACCAGTCGTGGGCCCTTCTCAAGCGAGGGTTTAGAATTTAGCTTACAGCTTTTTTTAAGAGCTTGATTTACAGAGCTTTCAGGGAAAGGAATGGTGAATCAACATCTTCTTAACACCCACTCCAGGCTAGCAGAAGCAGTCTTCACACAAATATAATTCAACTCACAAAACATCAACACCTCAGTGATGCCTGACTCTGTGCTGGGCATTCTAGGGACATGCACATAAGTAGGATATGGTCCCTTCATCTGCAGAGCTAAGTATCTGGTGTGTCTTTGTGGATTACAGTTTAGTCCTCTATTTAGAATAAAATAAAATGTGAGATCACTTTGGATTGCTTTTTCTACATGGGGCATAGTGGGGCAGATATTTACTGTTCTCATTCTTTTTGGTCAGTTGTCTCTGCTGAATAATAATATACATTCAGTTCAGCCTGATACATGCTTATCGAGCATCTGCTGTGTACACTGCTCTGGAATACAGCCAGTGATATGGAACGGAGTACAGCTCACTAGTCTGTGGTGAGATTGAACCTGTGGTTGCGGTTCCCAAGCAGTAAGCTCTGAGCCAAACCATGACTGTTCAGATGTCATTTGCCCATTGGAGAGATGCTGACTCTTTCTGGGGCTTGCTTGGTCCCACTGGTTGGCCCATTACAAGGTCCTGAGACAAGATTCTAGGTGCTCCATCCCTGTTTCCCTTCAAAATATTAAAGACAGTGGTCCTTAGGCACTGCCCAGCCATGGTGTGGACACAAAGAGCAGCTGAGACCTTTCTCTGCATTGCAGAAGGACACAGCTATAGACCCACGTCCC